ACTATGGCTGGTAGAAACACAAACTACATGAGGCTTGGGGATAGTTTCCTCTGCCTCTTCAGGTGGTTCTTTCCCCGGCCTTGGGTGGTGTCTTTTCATACATGAGCTGATCAGTAGTGTTCTGCTGGAGACTCAGAGGGGACCCTCTGCAGACCTCTGGACTTCTTGCTTTGTGCAGCTGTCTCCTTCTGGTTCTCTTCTGTGTGAACTCTGGCCACCTTAGCCTCTTCAGACTTCTAGAAGCTCCATCTCCTCAACTTGGGAAAACCACCTCACTAGACTTGTAGAGCATCCTTTCAGCTCTGTGTAAGAAATTCCCAGTTGGAGTAATCCCCAGCTAATCACCCAATTATCATTTGGTCTTGTGGTACCAACTTTCACTAGAGAATTTCAAAATGCTGAAATTAAAGGCCATCTCCTGGAAGGTTTTCTTTTCTTTCTCTTATTTTTAAACACATAACAAGAACACTCTTTTCAATTGGGATTTGTTTTTATTTGTCCCTGTTTTTTTTTTTTTTTTTCTTAGAATTTTTTTTATCATAATAAGGGATACAGGTTCCTTAGAACCACTGTTTGGACTCAGTGAGTGGTGAGTTCAGCCCTAGCTACAAAGACGCAGATTCCTGTGCCCAGATTAGGCCCTACTCAAAATCACCTTCATCAGACACAGGTGGAAAGCAGAAGAAAAACTGACCCTTGAGAGACTTGGGTTCCTCAAGTATTAGCTGAGGATGTAAAGAAATTGGAACTCTGTGCACTGTTGGTGGTATTGTAAAATGGTGTAAACTCTATGGAAAACAGTATGGTGGTTCCTCAAAAAATTAAAAATATAACTACCATTCAATCCAGCAATCCTGTTTCTAGGTATATATCTCAAAGAATTGAAAGCATGGCCTCAAAGAGATATTTGCACACCCATGTTCATAGCAGCACTGTTCACAATAGCTAAGCGGTGGAAGCAACCCAAATGTCCATTGACAGATGAATGGGTATAGATTCATCCATACAAAAATTGGTATATACATACAATGGAATATTATTCATCATTTAAAAGGAAGGAAATTTTGTCACATGCTACAACACAGGTGAACCTTAAGGACTTTTTTTTTTTTGCGGTACGTGGGCCTCTCACTGTTGTGGCCTCTCCCGTTGCGGAACACAGGCTCCGGACGCGCAGGCTCAGCGGCCATGGCTCACGGGCCCAGCCGCTCCGCGGCACGTGGGATCTTCCCAGACCAGGGCACGAACCCGTGTCCCCTGCATCAGCCGGCGGACTCTCAACCACTGCGCCACCAGGGAAGCCCCTTAAGGACTTTATACTAAGTCAAGTAGGGCAGTCACAGAAAGACAAAAACTATATGATTCCAGTTATATTAGTTACCTAGAATAGTCAACTTCACAGAAACAGAAAGTAAAATTGTGGTTACCAGGGGCTAGGGAGAAGGGAGAAAGGGTTGTTGTATCAAGTTTCATACTTGCAAGATATAAAAGTCCTGAAGATCTAATTCACAGTAATGTGACTATACCTAACACTACTGAACGCCATTCTTAAAAAAAGCTGAGATGGCAAATTTTAGGTTCTGTGCTTTTTACCACAATAGAAAAGGAAAAGAAAATAAGATAGAGACGAGTTCCTTCCTGCCTCACCCTGACCCTTTTGACTTTGTAACTTTGGAAAGTCAACTTCTCAGCCGTGGTTTCCTTATCTTACTTAGATTTTGTAGTTACTATAGATTTAAATGAGTTCATTTGTGTGAACGTTTTTCATAAACTAGATGGTACTACGAAGATGGAAACCATTATTATCAGGGAGGAAAGGGTGGAGAATCAGCCCTAGAGAAGAGACCAGCCTCTAAACATTGCATCCCTTGTAGGTACTCAGTTACCCCAAAACTGAAGTGGGGCACCTGTGAGAATGGAGAGCAGAAGTAAACATGAAGCATGAACCTCAAAGAGAGGGGCTCACTGTGGCTTGCTGAGTACCCTCCACAGGGTACACAGTCATGAGCAGGGTGGCGGGGGATAGAGATGCTGTTCCAAAGAAAGGTCTAAGGGATCCTGGCAGTGGCAGAAGCTGCAAGTTCTGCAGATGGCAGCTGAGGTTGCAAACCAAAGGGCTATATTTATGTGTAGCTAGCATAGAAAGGACTCTTGATCAGAGACTGTCCTTATTAAACAGAGCTGGGCAATACCTAAAATCATTAATTTCCTATTCCATCTTTAAGTTTACATTTCATGAATGTCAAATGACTGACATGTTCTCATTTTAAAACTTGTGTTTTTCAGATTGATAGTTTATTTGACAAACCTCAGTTGCAGTTTTGAGCATTTCAGTTTTAGTTAGGCTTTTTTGGTTGGGTGCAATAGAGGCTCACACAAGCAAACTCATAAAATGGAGTGTACATTGTTATGAAGATACACATGGAGCAATAAAGGAAACCTGTAACTCTATGAACAGCACTTGCGAAAAGGTGGCTTTGGAGTCATATTCTTGGATCTTCACTCTGGTGTCGTCTATAAATATAGCTTAGCTACACTCTACTCTCTGCTTCTTCCCATCCTGCAACAACTGGAAAATTTTTTCTATCCTTCTTAGTTCAGATCAATAAGTTCATTTTTCAAGCCAGGCCACAGAGTCATGGGCCAAGTGTCAGGTGGGTACTCTTAGGTTAGCCTTGAGCTGGTGGTAAGATGGGGAGAGGGGATCAAGGTCAAGTAGCAAAATACATTGCTGCTTCAAAGGCAGTGGCTGAGGGCAGAGCAATTTCCCTTAGAAAGGGTTACGGTGTGTCAGGCAGTGATTAATGTTGGGGTAACTAACACCTCTCTTCTCCTGGAGCAAACTAAGATATAAAACAAAAGAGGAGTTAGGCAGACAAGAGATTAAATATTACCTTTAATTCTGACAAAGGCTAAATTGAAAGATATAGCTTGGTATTAGAACAAGGTATTAGAACAAGGGGGTCTGCTAGATGAACCCCAGAATTATGTTGACTTCCCCATTCAGTCACAGAAGTTACTGGGCCAAGCAGAACACCCCATATAGGGTGGCTTTCTGATATAGAAGAGCAGAGAAGAATCCCTGTTTCCTTTAGACAACTCATTCCCAAAAGAAAAAAGAGAGGAGCTAAGCCATGCATGCCCAGTTTCTTCTTCCCAAATTTTCTTATCAGTATAGTCCACCTCTCCTGGGACAGAGTGGGTAAAGGAGTAGAGAGAGGCCAGGAGTGCTACAGTACTTGAGCTCCCTTCACGTGGAAGGAAACATCAAAAGGAGAGAAGAGGTATTCCCCTAACAATTGGCATCACTATCACAGTTTCAGTAGTGATCAACTAAGAACAAAAGGATAAATACAAGAGCACATTATCACTTTTCAAACTTAAAAAACACAGCGATAGGTTAAAACCCTTAACAAGTTAAGAAAGCATCAGTTTGAAAAGAGGATTATTGTGCTGATTCTTGGTAGGCAAGGTATAAATGAAAAGAAATAGGATTCTAGGAGTAAGAATGGGAGGAGTGATTCAATTGGATGATTAAAATATTGGTTTTGACCTTTAAATAAACAGAAGCTGCCTCTTAGGATTGTTGTGAGGATCGAATAAATTAATACATATAAAGCTCTTAGCACTGTGCCTGGCACCTGGTTTTGCCCAATAAGTGTTAGTACTTATGTGGTGAAGAAAGCAATGCTTGTATGATAAGATTGTGGTAGGAGAATGGGCAATGCTTACAATGCCTTTCTAGGCTTCATACGTGAGCTAACATGCCCAGAAAAAACTCTGCTTGATATAGTTTAGCAAATGGAGAAAGTACTAGTGGGTGGTAAACTCATTTATGCTAACAGCTGCATGACTTTCAGTATCTTTTGTATAATACCTTAAGAGGCCAAAAGATGATTTTTTCCATAAAAGTTTGCCTCATTTATCTCTACTTCTCACTCTTTATGTTATACTTTCACTTCATGTCTGTTTCTTTTCTTATTTTATTCATTAACTAAACATAATCATATTAAACAAATATAAAATATTGCCTAGAAGTCTATATTTCTTGTTTTTTGTTTTTGTTTTTGTTTTTGTTTTGGCGGTACATGGGCCTCTCACTGCCGTGGCCTCTCCCGTTGCGGAGCACAGGCTCCGGACGTGCAGGCTCAGCGGTCATGGCTCATGGGCCCAGCTGCTCCGTGGCATGTGGCATCTTCCCGGACCGGGGCACGAACCCGTGTCCCCTGCATCGGCAGGCGGACTCTCAACCACTGCACCACCAGCGCAGAAGCCCCTGTATTTCTTCTTAATTAAAAAAGAGGCAATAAATGAAGCAGAATATTATGAACTGACATGGAAACTTCTAGATGTTATGATGACCAAAAAAATCAAGTAGCAAAACAATATGTCTAGTGTAATGCCATTTAGGAAGGGAGGGAGGGAGGGAGGAAAGAAAGAAAGGAAAAGAAAGGGAGGGAGGGAGGGAGAAAGAAAGGAAAAGAAAGAGAAAAAAGAAAAGAAAAATAGAGGGAGAAAATGAGAAAGGAGAGAGAGAGAAGGCAAGGTAGGACAAAGAATCAATGTCTAAATAAACAAAAGGGTAGAGCAAGTTCTGGAAGGATCTCTGGGAAATCATTAACAGGAAGAATGAGAATGAAATTTGTGGGAGGAAGGGAAAAAATAAGGTAAGGTGTCAGAAAAAAAACAAAGGGGCACTTTTAATTTTTACTTGGTGTTTGAATTTTTTCATAACAAGAAATATGCATTTGTTACGTGTATAATATTAGAAATGTAATAGGGAAAATGGAATGAAAGAAATATTATTTTATCCCACAAATGAATTGGGCCTTTCATTATCGTTATTATTATCATTATTATTAGCTTTTTGTTCACTAGCGTTCTGTTTCCTCTCCTAGCTCTAGGTTTTGTTGTTGTTCTTGTTTTGATAATAATACCTAGAAGACTACTGGTCCCAAGACTGCCTTCTTTTCTGCCCGACTTTATTTCTTTTCATTCAGGCGTCCCTGAAAGCCTCCATCCTCGCCCGGGAGTGTGCCACCGCCGCTGCCATTGTGTTCCTGAGCGACCGGTTCTTGTACGGGCTCGACGTCTCGGGCGAACTCCTGAAGGTCGCCCAAGGGCTGCACAAGCTGCAGCCAGCAACGCCAATTGCCCCGCAGGTGGTTATTCGCCAAGCCCGAATCTCGATGCACTCAGGTAGGCTCCCTCCTGCTGGCCCTCCTCGTCCCGGAGTCGTCCCGTCTGGGGCTCACCTTCCTCGGGGCTCCTTGACTTCCGCGGGGACGGCGGGCACCGGGGCCCTCGGGCTTTCTTTTGTAGCCGCCGGCGCTCCCGCCAGCCCGCCGCCTTGCCCTTCCCCCTGCCTCTAGCCAGCACAAAGGCCCTGGCATAAAGGATTTCAGAGCCAAAAGCAATAGAGAAAATTGTGAAAGGGGGTGGAAAATACTAATTGGAGCTTTTGTCGTCTAACAAATCTGTCCTGCTGCTTTCAAACAGGGGTATCTGAATTGCTATACTTCTGACCAGCAGCCTTTAAAAATCAGATTAGAATTCTACTATTTTCTCTTAGCTCTCCAGTCTCCTTTCTGTAGGGCCACTTGACTATGCTAACAATGGACCTGACAAACCCACTGAAGTAATTTGAGATATTTTTCCATCACATGGAACACCAGTACAGTACCTGATTAGGCCTTAAAGTATCTTTTTTTTTTTCCTTCTGTCACTTTGAATAAAATGAAAAATGAGGCTGACATTCTAACTTAGGCTGTAATGTAGAGGGGGACTGGAGGGGAGAGGGGCCTGCTCTGTGTTACAGCAAAGTTCACTTTCATAGAATTCTTGAATTATTTAAATTACTGATAACCATGAGGTTTAGAAACCTGTAGCCTGCTGTTCTCTTTTCCAAGAGTGAAAGGATAAAGGATGAAAATAGAGTGCAAGTTGCCTCTCCCAGAAACAGGACTGGCTCATTTTTTAAATTGGGTTTAGCTATTGCTATTGTTTTAATAACTCTGGCCTTGAAGAAGTTAAAATGTCTTTTAACTACTGCATTTCCTTTGAAAAGGAACTGTACTAACTGTAATGAATGGGACAGTGGCTGAGTACAGAGAGGGACAGAGATAAAAGGACATGAGAGACATGGGCTTGTGGAGGTTAACTTTTCACAAGCCCAAGTTCATTCACTCTCAAGTTCTTGCAGCTGTGCATAAATTGTACCCATATCTTATTATTTACTTTTCTAAAGTAATTGCATCAACAGAGTTGAACTTAGGAAAAAATTCTTACTTCAAATGTCCGTGATTTGGGACATTTAATAATGTTTGGAGTTTATCATGTTGAGGGTATGAGAAAAACCTAACCACTAATACGCCTTCTGATGGCATCAGATGGAATAATGTGTGAGCAGAGCATTCTGTTAGGGGAACCGAAAGTTGAGGGCCGGGCGTGCATGGGCAAACTAATGTTGGTTCTCATCAAATTGAACTCGGAACAGTAACTGAGGCATGTTTCATGATACACAGATTTACAGATTTGCTATAGTGTGACATGGAAATCAAGGTCAAGTGGTAAGTAGTCATGTTGATAGCTTTGCTTTACACAACCAAATAATCGTTTCACTTACTTGTTCGGTTGATTGTTGCTCTCATGCCTCTAACTAAGGTGGTATAGACTTTTTCTGCTGATGACAATTAAGCCTTGATCCCATCATGAGCAGCACGCTCCTCTGCCCGCACATCACATGTCTAAGGTAAAAGTCCTAGATCTTATTCTGCAACAGTTGGGGTTGTCTTTTCCGCAAAGATACTACCAGACATGCCACAAGAAAACAGACACAGTCTCAGAGTTAAAGTGCTTATCTGTAAACTTCTGCCCCCAAACATCTCTTGAGGCTCTACCTACACTGGGTTTCTCAGACAGAAAGGGGGACTTAAGGCAGGGGTGGTGTCCTGGAAAGAGAACAAGGTACAGTGAAAAGGGGTCTCAGTCCCCAGCATTTGGGAATCCTGGGATAGAGAAAGGAGAGGTGTGTACGATGTTATAAGGGGTAAGGGAAAGGAATAAATATAATATGAAGGGATAGCACAGTCTACCTGTTTTCCCCTTTGACCCAGCCCATCCTGGTATCCACTCAAAACCCATTCCAAAGGTCCAAGCATTCAATGTCGTGGGATTTCAGAGGCAAGAGAGGATGCCCTGGGCCTGCCCAGCTCACTCCTGCCTGAAATTAGGAGACGAAACCTTTCAAGCCACAGTTAAAAACAAAGAGTCAGACTTCCAGTTCCATCAGCGTGGAGGATTGAGCAAGTGTGGAATCTTCTCCCACTTAAATATCGAAATATTTAATTCACGGTACATAAATATCGTAAATTAAATATTTTTTAAGTGCCTGAAACATAGAAGACGTTCAAAATCAGAATAGTGGACTACTCCTCCTGACACTATAGCCAAAGAGATTTACACTTGGATATAGTCCTAGGGGAAGGGATTGCCACTTTAATTCCTGTGCAGGGACAAGAGACAGGGCCTTGGGCCTACGTGGAGTGAAATATTTGCACAAAGCTGGAATCCTTAAAGGTTTGCACAGCTATGAAATGGGACTGAACTGCTCTACCAGCCCACCCAGAGAGGTGATGAGGAGGCTTATTCTCTGCCCAAGCTCTAAGGTGGAGGCCAAAAAAAATCTCTGTAAAGAAATAAAAACCCCAAGTCTGTGCCAAATGTCTGTGTGAAGTCTGAATTTACCCACAAGAGAAGGAATCACCCACCAAGTAATTAAGAAGAAATTAATTCAGGACTGAAATTTCTGGGACCTGGCAGATCAAATACAAAATTATGCTGTAGAGAAACAACCACACTCCAGAGGCATCTCTTAATGTCCTGACGAGAAAGGTACACAGTGTCACTTCTGCCACATCGATTGGTCACAACAGGTCACAGGGCCAGTTCAGGCTCAAGGAGAAGGAAAATAGATTCCACTTCTTGATGGAGGAATGGCAAGGTCATGTTGCAGAAGAGCATGTGGGATAGAAGATACTGTTGTGACCTCCTTTGGATCACAGTCTACCACAGTCAGGTATGTGTCTGTATCTGCACTTTGAAATAGGGTGGTCAGGGAAGGCCTTATGAGACAGTGAAGTGACATTTGAGCAAAGACCTGAAGGAGAAGGGAGCAAGCCTTGGAGATATCTGGAATAAACGCATTCCAGACTAAAATAAGTACAAAAGCCCTGACATGGGAACAAGCCTGGCAGATTCAAGGAGCAGTCATGAGGCCACTGTAACCAAAGTAGAAGGAGTGAGGATGAGGGAAAGAATGCTAAGAGAAGAGGTCAAAGAAGTCCCAGGGGCCAGGTCTTATGGGGCTTAGAGGCACCTGGGAGCAGAAATGGGTAAAAGGATGAATGATTGAGTTTCCTCCTTACAGAAAAACAGCCATCCATAGTGTAGGCCCCTCCTACATGGTGTTAATGAAATAAATGAAACTACCCACCCCCTAAAAAAGTTCCTTCCTGATAATTCTGTAAATAGACCTATTCACGGGCAACCCTCCTCCACTTCTGGAGGCATAGTTTTCACAAAAAGGAGACACAGCCTTTGACAAAGGTTTGCCTTTACTTCTCAAGCCTTACTCTATATGAATGGATTATTCATTCATATGAATGAATATGTGTGTGTATATGTATGTACATGTATATGAATCTAATTGAAATTTCAGATACTGTACAACTTCCCACCTTACCAGTTCCTGAAAACTTCATCATCTTTTTCACTTTTGTGTATGACGTAGTTACTGATTTTAAATTTTAAAATAGAATGTTTCCCCGTTATAATGTGTTAACCTTAGAGCATGAACAGCAGTATTTAAAGCACATGTTCAGAACTAATTATGTGTTGCTTCTTTTCAGGGAAACTTTTAAAAGCAGAGTATATCCTGAGCAGCCTAATAAGCAACAGTGGAGCAACAGGTAAGTGCTCTCATGTCTTCACAATGATCTTCACCCTCCATCCCTACCAGAGTTCCAGTTTAAAAACAACTTAATGGGGATTTCCCTGGTGGTCCAGTGGTTATGACTCCACGCTCCCAATGCAGTGGGCCAGGGTTCGATCCCTGGTCAGGGAACTAAGATCCCACATACTGCAACTGAGCCTGCACGCCGCAACTAGAGAAGCCCGCACATCGCAACTAGAGAATCCCGTGCACCGCCATGAAGACCCAGCACAGCCTAAATAGCTAAATAAATATAAATAAATAAATGAGTAAAACGTAATGACCTGGTAGTTACTATACACTGGACGTTCCCAGAACTACCTAGGACTGGCTCTGCTACTGATGAATGAACTGGCTTTGGTCAAGCAGGTTACTTCCCTATGTTTCCATTTTCTCTATTTAAAAACAAAAACAAAACAAAACAACCCAACCAAGTCTTCTAATATTGCCCTGCTTTATTGTAGAGTGTGTTATCTAATCAACATTCACTGTGAAGGTAGGTAACTCCCTGGACCTCAGAAAGGGCTCAGCTACAGCTTTGAAAAGAATTGTGAATGGAAATTGAGCCTATAAATTCAGGAGAATACACTTACAGTTTTATGTATTTAAAGGGTCTGGAAAATAAATTTTATTTTGCTACAGAGGAGCTATAATAAAAACTTACTTTGAAATAGATTTCTTTTGATATTTAATCATACATGAGAGGAAACAAGTCCTAATAGTTGGGTAACAATTTAAGCCTCAAATACCTTGTCTGAATTTCTGGGTGCTTAAGTCAACAAGTTTCCCATTACGTTGAACACAATTCCTAGTCGACTTTTAAGCTCAATATGCTTGGATATAAGGTCTCGAGCTCCTTGAAACTTGTAGACATTTCCAGTGGGGAGGCAGTTTGAAATAACAGATATGAACCACATACCCGCATTTGTGACCACCATCACTAACCTACAATATGCATACTTCCCGTCTTCTACACCACACACACACATGCTCGCACGCACGCATGCACACACACACATTAAAAGCTAGGGAAAAAGTAAGGAGGGTGATGTGACACAGAATAATAAGAGCATGTAATAATGAGTCTGACTTTATTTTTGATGTTTGGCAACTGGCAGCTGTCAGGCCCCAGCTTCTTCCCTCTTTGCCCCACATCTGGACAGGCTGATTTTTTTAAAGCTCATTTATCAGTAAACCCTGGCCCAGCTGTGGGAACCTTTATCCCAGACCCACACCCTAATCACAATAAAAACAAAAGCCACTCACCACTCCCTTCACTTAAGTCAAAGGGACCAGCTTCGGTGCCTTCCCTGCTCTCCTCAGAAAGGCTCATTATGTGAGCACTAAATCTTTTCATATACTCTTAGTGCGTGTATATAGCCATCAGTTTCAACATTCAAACCAATTTTGGGTGGATGGGATGGATCCCGCCCTCTATGAGGCAACCACAAGACAGGGGGGGTGACACTGTAGTTAATTAACCTGGGGAAGCCTCGGAGGCAATAGCATTGAGGATGAGCCCTGAAGTAGGAGCTAGAGGGGGCGGAATCCCTCCCTCTAGGTAGAGGGAATGGCAAGTGCAGGTACAGTGAAGCAGGAGACGGCTGCTATTATAAGGAACACAATGAAGCTGCATGGCAGAGCCCAGTTGGTAATGGGGAGAGGTGGAGACCAGGCAGGATTCAGTCCCTGTGAAGCCTCATAGGTTGCAGCAAGAAGTATGGACCTTATTCTAAATGCAAAGAAGAGATTGTCTCCCGAATTTATATCACATGTGTTCATTAAGGCTTCTATGAAAATCCTTTTATTTCACCAGGCTATTTCTTTAATAATTCAAGGCCAGGGACTTCCCTGGAGGTCCAGTGATTAAGACTCCGTGCTCCCGGGCTTCCCTGGTGGCGCAGTGGTTGAGAGTCCACCTGCCGATGCAGGGAACACGGGTTCGTGCCCCGGTCCGGGAAGATCCCACGTGCCGCAGAGCGGCTGGGCCCGTGAGCCATGGCTGCTGAGCCTGCGCGTCCGAAGCCTGTGCTCCGCAACGGGAGAGGCCACGGCAGTGAGAGGCCCGCGTACCACAAAAAAAAAAAAAAAAAAAGACTCCGTGCTCCCACTGCAGGGGGCACAGGTTCCATCCCTGGTCAGGGAACTAAGATCCCACATGCTTAGCAGTGCAGCTAAAATAAATAAATAAACATTAATTTTTTTTTAATTTTAAAAAATAATTCAAGGCCAAAAATGCTTTTCTTTTTTTCCTCTTTATTGTAGGTACCTGGCTGTACAGAAATGAAAGCGACAAGGTCCTGGTGCAGTCGGTCTGCATACAGATCAGAGGGCAAATTCTGCAAAAGTTAGGTACAGTCATCCTCTCAAGGCTCATTTACCAAGTCTGGCTACAAGATTTTACTATGGACTTTTCTCATTGTATCTGGTTGATACAGTTCATCCCCACTTCCCTTAGTTTCCTTATGGAAAAGAGAATGACACTTAAGATGCCAGGAATATTATGAACATTAACAAAACAAAATATTTTTCTGTTGAGTTTTGTTAAAGAAGTTTACAGTTGTATATTATGACTGTTAACCACAGGATTCTCGGTATTATTTCTGGCATCTGGCTCTCAGCTCTTTAGGACTCCGTTTGATATAGTGACACCTTATTCTAAACCCACACTGACAGCTTACCCATTCGTTCCTGGGAAGGTATTCCTGAGTTTTACAAGCAAAGTTTATAGGACCCTAATTATACTTTAAAATGCAAACTAATGTATTTGAAATTTAACAGAGGATGGTAATTGTTATCTTGTAAATAATGGAGAAAATTATTTCTATATTAATATATCTTATATGTACACATGTAATATATAATATTTCTTACTGTTTCCCTGTGAAAGGGAAAAATTATCTGTATTAAACCAACTGGAAAAACAGATTGCTGTTTTTCCAGCAGATTGCTATCTGCTGATTGCTGTCAATCTAATCTAGTCATATATTTTCTTAACAAAATCCAATGAATCTTCTTTCTGTATTAGTTTTTAAAGGTATTTTCTGACACAAGAGCACAGATACTCACAGATATTAGCAGTTTGTCCCATCTCCTTTTTTGCAGGGATGTGGTACGAAGCAGCAGAGTTAATATGGGCCTCAATCATAGGATATCTGACACTTCCTCAGCCAGATAAAAAGGTTGTTTGTCTAGTGCTTATTTTCTCGTTTCCTATACTTGTCTTTGAAAGATTATCTTCTTATGGCACAATTCAGTTTATCATTTATCAATTTTATTGGTCCTATTTTTATTGATTCTACACAGGCGTCGGACCAGGAACATTTGGCAACTTCCTTCTAGTGTCTTGCTCATCCTCATTCACAGCTAGACGCTTGGCATATATTTAGTATTTCTATATATATTTGTAACTATTTATGCATTTATTTCTACCAATCCATTTATTTTTATTGATACCTATTTTATTATATATTTAGCCTTTACCTAATTCCATAGCAAAGTTGAGGTGGTCAAGTTGCTTATGTGTAAAATCATTTTTCTTGAGTTGAGTGGGAAAAGACTTCGATTAACTGTTTATGCAGCATCTTTATTCAAGAAATTGAGAAGCAACATTTGCTTTCCTACTTGATGTTTTCATTCTCTGTGACTCTGTGAGAATATTCTCCTTGTTAATTGAAGCTTTGGGTTATACATCTTCCCAAGCTGTGTCAGCAGCACTGCTGCCTACAGTCCTCTTAACAGTACAAGTGGAATGGGGTGTGGGGACTCTTGCTTGGGCCAATTCATTATGCCTAGCAGTATGGACAAGTTAGTGTTGACAATCCAGTGAAGCCCAACTAAGAAATAGCTGAGTTTGCATTACTCCCATGTCCTCAGGATGTGATGTTCTCTCAAGCCCAGTGACATCCAGTTGAGAAGTATCCGCAGTGTCATAATAACAATAGCAATAATAATAAGCAATGGTTTATTTAGAAGGCTAATCATTGACTTTAGGCCTTGAGATGAGAGCAACAATTGACTGTGAATTCCTAATCCGTGTTTTGTTTGTGTTTCCTTACAGGGCATTTCCACATCACTAGGTATACTGGCAGATATCTTTGTTTCCATGAGCAGGAAAGATTATGAAAAGTTTAAAAGCAATCCTGAAATTAACTTGGTAACTATCACTTGTCAAAACCAGGGTGCAGAGTGGCATCACCTGCAAAACGGTCAACATTATTCTTGGTGCTTGGTTAGTTCTCTCTCCAGGAGTCAGGCGGCACGGTGTCTCCCCTCTTCAAGTAATGTGAGCAGTCCTGGAGACGGTTCCTATGGTGTCCTGTTTGGCTTTATTATCCCAGCACCTAGCACAGTACCAGACCTGCAGAGGGTACTGGGGAAAAAAAGACTGATGGATGAATGAATGAATGAAATCAAAGTGATAAATGCTTTGAACCCCATGATTTCCTTTCAAATTATCACAAAATTCAGTTTCTACACTTGGGCTATCTCAGTGACAAAGTAAAGGGGTAATAACTTTAAGACTTTAATTACCATCTGTTCAAATCAGAGCATCAGTCACTTGCTTAGGCTCTTATCTGTGATAATAATGATTACAAATATATAGATGTATATTGCTTTATAATTCAAAAAGCGTGTGTGTATATGTATATGATCCACATGCACCACATCTACCTATGAGGTAGGTAGAGCAAAATGTGTCAGTCCCATTTTAGAGAAAAATTAACTAAGGTCCAGAGAAACTAAGTGACCTCTGCAACTTGTACAATCAGTAAGAAAGAGAACTGGGAGCAGAAGCCAGGTCTCTAAGCAGTTTGGAGCATCGCACAGACATTGACTTCTCTCCTGCACTGCACTGAAATTGAGATTTTTAACGGTATCATCAATTATTGCCTTTTTAAAAATACCAGGGGGCTTCCCTGGTGGCTCAGTGGTTGAGAATCCGTCTGCCGATGCAGGGGACACGGGTTCGTGCCCCGGTCCGGGAAGATCCCACATGCCGCAGAGCGGCTGGGCCCGTGAGCCATGGCCGCTGAGCCTGCGTGTCTGGAGCCTGTGCTCCGCAACAGGAGAGGCTACAGCAGTGAGAGGCCTGCGTACGGCAAAAAAAACAAAAACAAAAACAAAAAGAATCCGCCTGCCAGTGCAGGGGACACGGGTTCGAGCCCTGGTCTGGGAAGATCCCACATGCCGCAGAGCAGCTAAGCCCGTGCGCCACAACTACTGAGCCTGCACTCTAGACCCCACGAACCACAACTACTGAAGCCCATGTGCCTAGAGCCCGTGCTCCGCTACGAGAGAAGCCACTACAGTGAGAAGCCCGTGCACCGCAACGAAGAGTAGCCCCCGCTCACCTCAGCTAGAGAAAGCCTGCGCGCAGCAACGAAGACCCAATGCAGCCATAAATAAATACATTTATAAAAAAAAATACCAAGGCAGCAACAGTAACTGTACTCAGTACTAATTAGTGTAGCATAAGAACACATACAGCTTGCTGCTAGCAATCTGAATCTTAGCAAAATGTTGCTTTTGCTGTCAGACCAAAACACAGGAAAAGGGTTATGCCCCTTGTTCAGTGAAGTTGTCTCTGAGGACTGTTTAACATTGCAAACTGCCCTTCCGCCTTGGACCTCCTCAGCCTCTTCTCACTTTATTTTCCTTTGGAACACTTGCTGCCGTCTCAAATACTATGCATTTTACTTATTTTGTGTATTGACTGATCTCCCCTTAACAGGAAATAAGCTTATTGCAGGCTCACTGTCTGCTCTCTCCTTCATGGCTAGAACAGTGCCTGGCACATGGAGGTACTCAATACATATTTCTGGAATAAATGATTCAGTCTTTTTTTTTTTTTTTTTTTTTGTGGTATGCAGGCCTCTCACTGCTGTGGCCTCTCCCATTGCGGAGCACAGGCCCCGGATGAGCAGGCTCAGCGGCCATGGCTCACGGGCCCAGCCGCTCCGCGGCATGTGGGATCTTCCCGGACCGGGGCACGAACCCGCGTCCCCTGCATCGGCAGGCAGACTCTCAACCACTGCGCCACCAGGGAAGCCCAATGATTCAATCTTAGTTGCTGTGAAATCGTACATTAAAGGGCTCTTTGCCAAGAACAATGCAGAAATCATCAGTGAATCTGACTGCAAAATGTGCAGAGTTCTGTGAACAAAGAGCTGCACGATCCTCCAAAGAAACTTGTCTGAATTACTTTGCACAGGCAGGCAGTGTGAATGTTTGCACACATGAGGCCTTCTCTGCGGTACGAGTTGGGGATGGATGATGTATGGGTGTGGGGGAAAGGACAGTCACTGTCCTGGGGTCTTTTGACCCACTTACTCTTTCTTGGCCCTGTTCTGAAATGCTTGTGATGAGGCGCAGGGCATGCCTCAGAATCTTGAAAGAAAAGCAAAGGAATTTTATAGCCTGTCTTTTGCTAATGGATCAATAGTTGTCAACAGTATACTCGGCCTCCTGTTTCCTCACAGGGCTTGCTGAAGGAGTTTGACCACCATTTGCTGTCAGCCGCTGAAGCCTGCAAGCTGGCAGCTGCCTTCAGCCCCTACACGCCTCTCTTCGTGCTCACGGCTATGGTAAACAGTGCAGCCCTCACTGCTCCTCTCTCCAGTGACAGATGTAACTGCTGGGAGGGAAGGGTCTAACCTTAAAATAGGCTTTGTGTATATCATTAGATAATTGTGATCAGACCTCACATATGTAAAGGTTTTATCAGTCAGAGTAGTGACATCCTGGTGGGAGCTAAGTTAATACAGCCGGAGGATTTGATGTTATCTGCTCTAGAACAATGGTTCCCAAGCATGTCAGAATCACCTAAAAGCCCTTTCAAAATACATATTCTTGAGCTCTACCCTAAATCCACTAAATGTAAATCCCTGGGGTTTGTACCCAGAAACCTTTCATTATGAAATACTGCCCGGGTGATTCAAATGCACAGAGGGGTTTGGAAGCCACTAATCTATTGTTTCGACTATTATTAAACAAATGATGTGTTTGTATATAGCAAAATTATTATGTCCACATTCCACGTATAGACTCTGTTTGCTATAACTGACAATAGCAACAGTAACAAATTTATCGTCTTTGATCAAAAAGTATCAGGGCTACAGTAGGATGGTAGCTGGTAGTTTCTGTATTTTTCCATGTGGCACATGTTTGTTTTTTTATACTATTTCTAATGACTGTCCTCCAGGGATGAAAAGTTTTCCCTGATTCACCTCCAGTTTCCAATTCAGTGTCTGATTTTGTATTTGGTATTTTCCTTAGAATATTCGCGGCACATGCCTGCTGTCATATAGTAGTTCTAATGACTGTCCTCCAGGAATGAAAAATTCATATCTGTGTGAAGCCAGAGAGGCCTTTGAAATTGGCCTCCTTACCAAGAAATGTGATGAACCAGTTACTGGAAAACAGGAGCTCCATAGTTTTCTCAAAGCTGCTTTCGGTCTCACCACGGTGCACCAGAGGCTCTATGGGGAGATGGAGACAGTCCACACAGCAAGTCAGCTCTGTAGTGAAGCTATGGGAAAGCTGTATACTTTCAGTACTTCCTCCAGACGTCAGGAGAGAGAAGCTGTCTCTCAGGAAGTCATGTCTGTTATCACCAGGGTGAAGGAACAGTTACAAGTTCAAAGCTTCTCAAGTTTTGATGACAAGTCTTATGTTCCAGAGGGTTTCAAGTGTGGGTTGGAGAAACCCATCTTGCATGGGCAAGTGGATTTCCAAAAAATTCTTGAAACCTATTCACAGCACCACACTTCAGTGTGCGAAATATTTGAAAGCACTTGTGGAAACAACAAAAATAAACGGAAAGGTACAAAAACAGGAGTCTGCATCACTGATCTAAAAACAGAAACAGAAAACATAGAAACTGTGAGTACTACTGAGGACAAACCATGTTTTGAAAAAGGCATGGTAATATCTTCCTCCCAGATGGCTAAGAATGGTTGGGAGAAACTCAGGAGGGTAGGAAGGAGAAACTGGGCCGGTTCTGATGGATTTCGCGTGTCCGTGGATGAGGATGTGGAGACTGAGGCTGAGTCAACAGACCATAGCAGTGGTGGGGGAGCTGTTTTGAACGAGTCTCTGAGCGACAGCCAGAGCTCCAGTTCTCGGAGCAAGTTATCAGGGTCTAGTTCTTCTACAAGATGGGAGGAAGTGAATTACCACGTTGGTGATATGTCAGCCAGAAGAGAGCCTAGCAAGGAAGAGCATCATGTGGACACTCAGTGTTCCACTGCCCTGGCAGAAGAACTGGAGATCGATGGGGAGAGCAGAGCTGTACATCCACTGTCTTCAGAGCTTCATGGTCTCTCTCTCCAGGTGTCCAGGGATGACAGTTTAGAGTCTTCTCAAAGTCAGCTACACAAGCCCATGCCCTTGACAACTTTTCCTCCTCATAACACAACAGGCACTTTGTTGGCCTCAGGCGCAGGGCTGTTAAAAGGAGCTCCAGAAGGTATGTGGGAAGCTGGAAATGTGGGGTCCAGAAATACTTCTGCTCATTCCAGACCCTCATTTGGTTCTGCTTCTTGGTCTTCTGATTCTGGTTGGCCCAAGAACATGGCCACATATCCTTCGATCCAAGAAGAAGAAACCTTTGAAATAATTGATAAGTTTCCAGAAGTCAACTGTGACGCCAAGGACAGTCATGAAGAAGAGAAGAGAGAAGAAATCAAAGGAGACACAGGTCCCCCATTTAAAGGTAGCCCCTGCTGGGTTGACCCAGAAGAAGAAACAGCAGAGAGAGCAGAAGATAGGCCCGTAGACTTCCACATAGTTGTGGACGAGCCTCTGGGCAAAAGTTCCATGATAGCATGTAGCACTTTCACTCCTCATTGGCTTGTTCAAAATCCTGACTCAGGGAAAAGTGGTGGCTCAGTCAAAGAGCAGGGCATTGACCCTGACGCCTCCACGGTGGATGAGGAGAGCCAGCTGCTGGACAGCACAGATGTTCACGCCACAAGCACACGTGGCTCTCACAGACCATGTGCTCTGAGGCAGCTGCGTGGTCGGGGAGCCCAGATCCCCAATTCCTCTGTAAGTGGTAACACTTCCATCCCTGTCCTCAGCGAGGACTGCACTACCACAGAGGAAGCAAATGAACCTGGAAACCTGCTAAACTGCAGCCAGAGCTCCAGCTCGTCCCTGGCATGGTGGTTGGAATCACCTGCAATTTCCAGTGGTTCTTCTGAAGGAGAAAACCCATGGTCCTTTCTGAATTCCAGTGGAAGTTCTTTTGTTTCATTGCCAGGAATGACAACACAGAAGATCCTTAAGGCTCGCACCCTGCAGCCTGATGACTTTGAAAAACTCTTGGCAGGGGTGAGGCATGATTGGCTGTTCCAGAGACTGGAGAACACAGGAGTTTTTAAGTCCAGGCAACTCCATGGAGCACATAGTAAGTACAGCCTTTCAGGAAGCATCTCTGCATGTTCGGGGCCCTCTGAAGCTCTTGTTATGTAGATCACTTAAAGCTCTTGAAAGATATCGACCCCGGTTATGCTTTGTGAATATATAGAGAAATGTGTAGTTCAGGGACCTTCTTCCCTGCTATAAAGACACACAAGGCAGTAAGGGAGAATCTTACAGGACTCGGGAGCAGTCGTCAGTCAGGGCTTAAAACAGCTCTGGATACCATATACCCTCAGCTTTTGTCTCCTCCACTGATTCTCATTACCAACCAGCTGGTTTTTCCCTATTTTTCCCATTCCGATCCTAGGGAGATGGGGTTTGACCTAGTTACACATCATCCTTCTAGTGGGCAGAGATTTTCACACCTGTCCTAAGTGGTTTCTTGCCAGTCAATGGATTGATCAGGTACAATTAACAACTGCTTCCTGCTTAAGGAACAGCGCAAGGTCTCTTCCCCTAGCAGGAAGCCTCGGCTGGGGCCACCCAGCCATCAGCATGTCCAAAACAGCTTAGAAGTGGTGGAGAAGCTGGGACAAAGACAAAAGAAGGTTCTTCTCTTAGCCCAGAGGATCACACTGTAATGCCCTCCAAGATACTGAAGAATTACTTGAATGAGAAAAAGAAATTATTGTGAAATGCATTTCAGAGGAAACAAACTACGTAGATTGCTGAGCACTGGATACTGAAGTAGTAGTTCTCAACACTGGTATCGCGTGAGAGTCTCCTTCCAAAAGGCTTTTCTTTTAAGGCTGCTTTGGGCCTTCATTGCTGCACACGGGCTTTCTCTAGTTGCGGCGAGCGAGGGCTACCCTTCGTTGCGGTGCACAGGCTTCTCATTGTGGTGGCTTCTCTTGTTGTGGAGCGTGGGCTGTAGAGGTGCGGACTTCAGTAGTTGTCGCGGGCTTAGTTGCTCTGCAGCATGTAGGATCTTCCCAGACCACGGCTCGAACCCGTGTCCCCTGCTTTGGCAGCCGGATTCTTAACCACTGCGCCACCAGGGAAGTCCTGAGAATCTCCCAAGAGGCTTTTTAGCTTTTTTAAACTTCCAGTGCCTCACCCCAGAGATTCTAGTCTAATGGGTCTGTGATGTGATCCAGGCATCCTTATTTTTTAAGAGCTCCCCAGTGACTTTGTGTAAAGCCAATGTAAAGAACTTCTGTTTCAAAATATTTCGGTGTTTTGCCTGCCACCTTGAAGTCAGACTAAAAGACAGATCAGGTTGTTGCCAAAAGAAGCAAAATTTTCTAATAATAGGGTTCCCCTGCTTACTGTGAGATTCTGCAGTTTCAAAATCACATTTCTGAGAGTTAGGTAGCTGCCTTATTGTTTTGTCTGTGTGCCAATTTATAGGTGAAAAAACACATTGGAGGAAGCAAGGCCCAACGTTGAAAAAACTGAACAAGTTATGCATTCTCTCCTTGCTTCTTCCCTCAGTTCACTGCCCTTTCTATGTGTGTGTGCAAGCAGCTCACCTTCCATTTCCTTCCCCAGCTTCTCTGATTGAGTCACCCAACCGCGATCACCATCTCCCCCAACCCCGTCATCTCCCTTCCCGATCCCAGACCTGTGGGTTTATCTCACTTTAAGTATTTTCTCTCCCGAGTCTCCTGTTCATTTACCCTTTATCACAACCTAGACCCTGGAAGTCTTTGTTCACTTCAGTTTAACTTGGATCCAAAATGTTGCATTTCTTCCTTAGGGTTCACGTTGGTCTTCCCCCTTAAAGAGATGTTTTCTTGCTGGCATTGGTCTTCCTTTCTTTAAGGTGGAAACAACCCTTACTTTTTCCTCTGATCTTTTCCTTTTTCAGTTGAGTTTGCATCTTTGTACAGTAGCTATATTTTCTCAGTAGTTCCTGGACTTTCCCAACTTAAAATATGTGAGAGAAAACGAGGGTGCACTTTCATATGCAATCTAGGATTCCTAGAGTTGCCAGGAACCTTTGGGGTAGAATTATTCAATTTATTTCTATCTGCGTGATCTGGCATAGGTAGCAGCCTCTATTATTTGAGGTCCCCAGATAATTAGAAGAAGATGCACACACATATCACTTGTTCCAAGATGGTCTCTGGGATTTTGCTGTTTAAAAAGCCCTTTTGGGCTTCCCTGGTGGTGCAGTGGTTGAGGGTCCACCTGCCGATGCAGGGGATACGGGTTCGTGCCCCGGTCCGGGAAGATCCCACGTGCCGCGGAGCGGCTGGGCCCGTGAGCCATGGCCAGTGAGGTTGCGCGTCCGGAGCCTGTGCTCTGCAACGGGAGAGGCCACAGCAGTGAGAGGCCCGCGTACCGCAAAAAAAAAAAAAAAAAACCTTTTATTTTCCATTACTTTCATACAGAAGCTCTGACCTTAATATGTTTCCATCACAAACGAGATTTTGTGAACCAAAGGCTATTCTTTATTGTAATTTCTCAAGCTTTACCTTTTTATCGTACTTCACTAACTTTTTAGTAATAGTCATAGAAAAGGATAAAGTTTGAGAAAATATATTAAAAAGTTGAATATTTCAAATGAGCTGGACTGGGACCTGTGTTACTTCAATTTTATCCATGAATTGTAGGATCTTTTTGAAAAATAAGATCAATATTCATCTTATCTTTTTTTCAAGATGCCCTTTTGTTAAAATATTCCAAGAAATCTGAACTGTGGACAGCCCAGGAAACTGTTGTGTATTTGGGGGACTACCTGAATGTGAAGAAGAAAGGCAGACAAAGGAATGCATTTTGGGTACATCATCTTCATCAAGAAGAAACTCTGGGGAGGTATTGCTTAAAAGCACCTATATCACTAATGTAAAAAGGGCCAATTTTTCCCTTCTGTTAATTAATTGTTTATGAGACTTTGAAAGGGCTGAAAAAATGGCTAAAATGTATGTTTTCAGAATTCAGCTCCTTTTTCCTCCTCCTCATTAGTTAGTTAATAACAGTTATCATATATGGAGGACCCACATTATGTCAGCCATTGGGCTGGATGTTTTATATACATGATTTCAAACCCATTAGGGAACATTAAACCCCATTGTACAGATAAGAAAAATAGTGTTCCTGGCTATATGACAGACCACAGAGTCTTAAACACTGTCACTAAAAATGGTGGCAAGAAAGGCCAAACTGTACAAGCCATACTTCTAAGTAAATGGGTGAGCCTGCAAAAAAAGGCAGAAACATCCTCTAAGGCCAGGGTTGAAGCATATCCAGGGATATAAGTGAATACTGAATCCTTAAGACACCCTGTGTAGAAGTTTTGGGCAGGGGAGGGATGAGAGAGCAGCTAGTGACAGAAGCTACCCATGGAAGGCGATGAGTTCAGAGACCACGGATATATATATATATATATATATATATATATTTTTCCCCCCAGTTGGAGTATAGTTCCTTTACAGTATTGTGTTAATTTCTACTGTACAGCAAAGTGAATCAGCTATACGTATACATATATCCCCTCTTTTATGGATTTCCTTCTCATTTAGGTCACTACAGGGCACTGAGTAGAGTTCCCTATGCTGTACAGTAGGTTCTCATTAGTTGTCTATTTTATACATAGTATCAATAGTGTATATATGTCAATCCCAATCTCCCAGTTCATCCCACCGCCCCCCCTTGCTATCCATTTGTTTGTTCTCTGCGTCTGTGTCTCTATTTCTGCTTTGTAAATAAGATTGTCTATACCAATTTTTTCAGATTCCACATATATGCACTAATATACGATATTTGTTTTTCTCTTTCTGACTTCCTTCATTCCATATGACAGTCTCTAGGTCCATCCATAGAGACCACCGATATAAAGCAGGGACGCAGGAATGGCTACGTGCTCAAAAATAGGTTATTTAAAGAAATGCCACCCCACTGAGGCAAATAACCTGGAAAGTTTTTTGTTTGGCCTTAGTTCTTGATGACAACTTTAAGCAAAAAACTCACCTGAAAATTAGTGATCACAGGTGGTACTCATTGGGTTTAAGGCCTAATTTTATACCATGTGTGTATTTTAAAGGACCTATAGGCAAGACTTTTAATTTAATGTAGACCTTGATCTTTAGCCAAATCCAAAAAATGTAAGAAATAAATAGGAAGAGAAAAAAAGAGAGAAATTGGGTGACTCTTAAATAGTAGAAATACATTTCTTGAGAAGGTTGTTGATGATAATAGTAAACATGTACATTTCTTACTACTTCCCAAGCCCTGTTTTAAGTCATTGATACACTAATTAATCTTCAAAAAACCCTATGAGGTAGTTACTACTGTATTATTATCCCCATCTTACAGATGAGGGAACTGAGACACAGAGATGTTAAGAAACCTGCACCAATTCACACGTCAAAGTGGTGAAGCCAGGTGTTACGGGTATAATTGTGTCCCTCCAACCCCAGATTCAAGTTGACGTTATAACCCCCAGTACCTCAGACTGTGATCTTATTTGGAAATGGAGTCATTGCAGATGTAATTAGTTAAGATGAGTTCATACTGGAGTAGGATAGGCCCATCATCCACTATGACTGGTATCCTTATAAAAAGAGGAACTTTGGAGATAGACATACATAGGGAGAATGCATGTGAAAATTGTAGTTACACTGCCACCAAGCAGGGGCTATCAGAAGCCAGGAGAGAGGCCTGGAAAAGATCCTTCCCTAATGCCTTCAGAGGGAGTGTGGCTCTGTTGATACCTTGATCTTAGACTTACAGACTCTAGAACTGTGAGAAAAATCAGTTTCTTTTGTTTAAGCCACCCACGTTGTGGCACTTTGTTACAGCAGTCCTAAGCAACTAATATACCAGGATACATGATAGGAGGATCTGAGATAGGAAATAAAAGAGAGAAGAGACAGGGAAGATGGAGTGAAAGGGTCTAACATACATCTGACCAGGAAAAGATAACAGAGCAAATAGAGAAGAATTACTATTTTAATAGATGATTTCTGACAATTTTCCAGAACTGCCAAAATATACTAATCTTCAAATACAGGAATCACAATGAGTCCCAAGTAGGATAAAAAGTGTTGTGCACATAATAGGTGATGATGGAAAACAAGTATTTGTACAGATGAAGTAATTATAAAAGGAAAGGGTAGAGGAAGCCTTCAGATTGATTAGTTGACCTAATTAATATAAGGTCATGCTGCAGGGAGTGAAAGATCTGCTTGCAGAGTCCGTGCACTTTCCAGTACCCATGCTGGCTCCCTTGACTTACCAAAGAAGTCTGGTGAACTGCTACACTAAGTGGACATTTTCTCTTTAAAATCAGTGTCATCCGGGGTCAGTGTATTAGGATTCTCCAGAAACACAAAACCAGTAATGTATATGTGTGTGCGTGTGTCTGTGTGTATATATACACACACATATATATATATATGTATATATATATATATAAAAGATTTATTTTTAGGAATTGACTCCCATAATTATGGAGGCTAGCAAGTCTCAGCATCTATAATTGGCAAGCTGGAGATCCAGGAGAGCTGATGATATGTAGTTCCAGTCCAAAGGCCAGCAGGCTTGAGACCCAAGAGGAGATGATGTTTCAGTTCAAGTCCCAAAGCAGGAAAAGATCAGTGTCCCGGCTCAGAAGCAGTCAGGCAAGAATTCTCTGTTACTTGAAAGAAGGTCAGCCTTTTGTTCCATTTGTCCCTTCAACTGGATGAGGCCCACTCACATTCGGGGGGGCAACCTACTTTACTCAGTCTATGGATTTAAATGTTAAACTCATCCAAAAACACCCTCACAGAAACACCCAGAGTAATGTTTGACCAAATATTTGGGCACCCTATGGACAAATCAAGTTGACACATAGATAGACTTAACCATCAGTCAGCTAGTATGAATTATGTTCCACTGTTCAGGTGGCTCTTACAAAATTATTTGAGTCATGAGATAACATTAACAATCTAAGGCTGAGAAAGAGTAACATCTTTCAAGCTTTTTTGCATATCTCTCTTGATCTCTTCTTTCTTACTGTATAGTAGGATCACTTTGCATTTCTTTATGTGGTTTTTTCCATTCACAGATATGTTGGGAAAGAATATAAGGAGCAGAAGGGGCTCTGGCACCACTTCATCGATGTGGAGAGGCAGATGACTGCACAGCACTATGTGACAGAATTTAACAAGAGACTTTATGAACAAAATATTCATACACAGATATTCTACATACCATCCTCAGTATTACTGGTAAGATTAGAGAAATCAAGAGTTTGATTAAGCAGGACTGTAAATATATATTAGGTTAGATTTCTATTGCCAACCTACCATTCATCTACCTCTACCATCATTCTGGTAAAATTCAATAAACTCAGTTACCAGCTTCCTTCTTCTACTTCATCTGCTTCAACTACTTGTAAGATATGTAAGAAATATGACCCTCTGTACCCTGATGCATCATTTGGATCCTTCAAGTCACATTTGAAGATCTGTTGATTCTGGTACCTGGTCCCTCATGGTCGAGTTAGCATTTTTAGTATACTTTTCCTTTGTGTTGTCTTTGTACTTTTAGAGGGAGAGAAGGGACCCTAAAGATCATATCTAATACAAATTATTCCCTCAACATGATGCATAAATCCCGTTTCATATTCATTGACCCCCACCCCTTGCAATCAAGTGATAACTAAGCCATAGTTTAAACACCTTCAGTAAGAAAAAAATAATTATTTGTTTTTTTTACTTTAAATAATTCCAGTTGTTAGGAAGTTGGCCCAGATCTGTCATCTTCTAATTTCTACCTGGCTTGTAGCTCTTCCCTCTGGGACCATTGAGACCAATCCCTCCTCACTATGATATCTGTTTAAATATGCAAAGGCACCCATCCCCACTGACATTTCTCTTCTTTGGGTTAAGAATACCTTGCTTCCCCAAAGATGCTGGATCTTAGCACATTTACACCCTAAAGAATTTTTTTTTTTACTTTGGCCAGCGATATTTTTAGACCCATATTTTGTTACTTATTTAATAATAGCTATTATCTATTTTGCAATTTCTTTATGTGAAGCACTATGCTGGGCATTTAACAAACAAACATTAACTCTAACCTTTGAAACAAAATAGTTCTACAGTCTACAAAATAGATCACATTGCACAAAAATGCTTGAACTGATATTCTAACCCAGAGTCACAGTGCATGATCTAGCTACATGACCTGGCAAGCCAGCCCCCTAGCATAGGTCACTTCATGGACTAATTTTTATTTGCACTTTTTAATAAAAGAATAATAAAAATCTTAGGTTCCATTATATGCCACATACATGTTAAGCACTGTACATGCATGGTCTCATATAATCCTTTTAATGGTCCTATAGCTATTATTACACCCACTTTACAAATAAGGAAACCAAAATCTAGAGAAGTAATAGTGCTCCTAAGTGGCAAAGCCTGGGTTCAAATTGAGATCTTCTGACCTCAAAGACCATGGCCTTCACCATTGTTATACTGTCTCCCATTTCTACTTTTCAGGTTTTAGAGGGCAAGACAATAAAAGGATGTGTCAGTGTGGAACCTTACATACTGGGAGAATTTGTAAAATTGTCAAATAACACGAAAGTGGTGAAAACAGAATACAAAGCCACAGAATATGGCTTGGCTTACGGCCACTTTTCTTATGAGTTTTCCAATCATAGAGATGTTGTGGTCGATTTACAAGGTATGTGAAACTGGGAATTATTTTTTTATTTTTAGTATTATTTATATGTAAATGTGAGGTTTTGTAACTATCTCTACTAATCATTATTTAATAAATAGATTGTTCAGTGCATAGGCTACTATTTGGAATTAAATTAATCAATTTTGCTGTATGTAGCAAATGATGCCTAGAAAAAATGTTTAAAGCTTTCTGCAAGTGTCTAAGGTGTCAAATAATCAGTGAGAAGATCTGGCTCACATTCTCTTGGGCTTCATTCTAGAGCAAATCCATAACAGCTTTTTTAAAAAAATTTCGCTCAAGTGGATTTGAGTGATGTAGGTTTCTTATGACTGCATGTTTTAATGTGTCACAGTCTTTCCACACTTTCTTTCCTCTAGCTCTTTACCTTTATTACAGGTGTAATACTGGTTTTCATAACTGGAATCATTATGGAACAGAAAGCTGTGTGTACTTGAATCTCACTTCCTTTAAAATCTGCATTAACATTTAAATTTTGTTTCAGTTTGGTATGTTATTTATCAGAATTATTAGCCATTATTCTGTACTTCATTTAAATGATAAATGAGTTTTATTATAATTATTTCTAGTAAAGATTCTATGACCATCCTCCAAGATCTTTTTTATCCCCCTTCCATAGCATTTATCATCACTCTGTTATATTACATATTTTACTTACTTATATTGTTTATTAATCTGTCCCCTTTCACAAGAATGTTACACAAATGAGTACAGAGATTTTTTACTAACTTGTTCACTGCTGTATCTCCAGCACCCAAAACAGTGTTTTATACAGTGTATACACTCAACAAATATTTGTTAAATGAACAGAGGAATGTATGAACTAATGAGTGAAGCATTAAAGAAACTTCTGAATCATGAAAATATTGTGATTTAATAATTATACCAAGTGCATGTTATTGCTCTCTAATTCCTGGGTCTGGTATGTCATATTTGACAAATTTAATTACCCAATATTTAATTATTCTTCTTAAAGCAATAATTGGAATATGCAACACCAAGTCCCTTAACAGAAATTTATTTATCATAAACCAGAGGATGACCAGGTTTTTAAAGTGTCTTGTATATATTATACATTTTTTTTTTCAGAAACAGTTTACTGACATTTATAGAGGATTTAATTCTCAGACGTATGTATTTCTCTTTTAGGTTGGGTGACTGGTAATGGAAAAGGGCTTATCTACCTCACAGATCCCCAGATTCACTCTGTTGATCAGAAAGATGTCACTACCAATTTTGGAAAGAGAGGAATTTTTTACTTCTTTAATAACCAGCATGTGGAATGTAATGAAATATGCCATCGCCTTTCTTTGACAAGACCTTCAATTGAGAAACCAAATAATTCATAGACTATCTAGAGTGATAATGACCACTTAGTGCTGCTCACCAGTGCCAGACTCTCCCCTCCTTCCAGGGACACCAATTGTGGCACAGCCTGGTCCCTTGGGTTTAGGTGGGAACATGGGACTGGTTCCGGCCAATGATTTGTGAGATGAATTGATAAGTATCACTTTCAGGCCCATATTAAATTGCCAGGGCAACACCAGGGCAGAGTCTCTTTCCCTCTGC